TGCAAATATGCAGATATTTCCCTACAAGCAAAGTAATTTATGCATGCCACAAATATAAATCGGAAAGTAATAATTACTGGTTCAAACATCAAAGCAGTGAGGCATATAAATTAAGCAGAGATTGGCAAGCACTATCCATTACCAAACAGCCTAAAAAATTCTGTGTTCCAAATACCCACCCTCTCTAAAAATAATAATAAATAATAATAATACTAATAATACTAATAATAACCGAATCCGATCGATTCTGTTATTCATTTAATGGCTGGCCTGCTTTAGGCAGGTGGGAAACCACTAGCCTGTATTACATCAACTGGTTGGCAATGCCCTGGTGCAATTGTTGTTTTTAATCTCCAGGTTACAACCAATCAAAAAAGTTTAAACGGATGACTCTGTTTTAGAGAGTATAGAGGTACAGGTATTTCGCAGATCGGTATAGTACGGGTGAGCAGATCAGTATGGTATAGGCTGAATTTTAGAACCTATACCATACTAATCTGGTGTTATATATATTAGTGTTAGGGTTAGGAATTATAGCTGATCAGTATTGTATAGCTTTTACTTCCTTTTAATTTTGGCCTATACTATATGGATCTGTTTACCCGTACTATACTGATATTCTGTAATCCTGATAGATATAGAATATTTGACGATGATTATTACTATTCCAGTCTAAAATGAAAAGTAGCAGATCACGAGTGAAGGGTATCCAATAAATAAGATATTTTACGGTCAATCATAGATTTAAATAGAAAAAATATTCAGCAGTCGAAAAAAAAATTGGAAAGGATTAAATCTTTGATGATCAGTGATTATCATTTCATCAACCCAATAAAAAATCCTACGAAAAAAAATGAAAAATCCAAAAAATCTAACAAACATATGCGAAAATTCACATCGGGCCACCAGTATTTATGCTAAAAAATCATTCTTTTACTATTATTTATTATAATATCTGTAAATTATTGCAGTTCCGGGTTTTATTTTCATAAATTATTATACCAATACAGTATTGGTCACATTAAATATTATACGCTCACGTGTACAAACACAGATGCAATAGTCATGCCACTAGTGTAAGGTATGAAATGGCATGCGAAAAATAGGCAACGCATAACAATATGTGATAAACAGAGTCACGCAGACCAATTAAGTGCTGAGAATCGCACACGCATATTAACTTGCCTGTAAACTATACACTATATTGTACATTGTACAAACTCTGTTCCTGGTATATATATAAGGTGTGAAAAATAGCATGCGAAAAATAGGCAATGCATAACGATATGTGACGAACAGAGTCACGAGAACTAATCAAATGCTGAGAATTGTACAGACACATTAACTTGCCTATAAACTATACACTATGTTGTACATTGTACAAACTCCATTCCTGGTATAATCTCAAATGTATTAATCCAAACTTATTAAATAAAGGACCATATTTTAATAACCAATACACAATACGTTCTGCCAAAGAAAATTTATCAAAGAAAATAAAAAAGAAAGCATCAGAAAATTCTGATTACCAATACTTACTCAAAAATATAAATTTGTAAAAAATCCACAAATAGTTCCAAATGAACCAAAAGAAAAAAAAGCATATTACTTTATAGCATTAATAAATAATCAACCAATCAAAGAATTACTTGATGAAGGAGCCAGTGCTAATATCATAGGATTATACCTAGCACAAGAATATAACCTACTCAAATTATTAACAGAACCATCTACCAGGACAGCACAATTACCTGGAGAAAAAGTAATCAAGAACTATTGAAAAATTACAGTACCTTTCCAAGTAGACGGATATAAAGAAAACTTTAAAGTAACAATCATTGAGTACCTTCTACTCTCAGAAATTAATCAAGCATGATTAAATATATTAAAAGATTGAAAAAGACACATCATTCTTATACATGATAAACCAATAAATTACCAAGACATTGATGAGAACTATCAAATTCCTAAGAGGTTTAGACATTATGATCAAGTCTCTATTTGTAATAACCTAGTTTCTCAGGTACCCTCCGAACCTTGAGATCAAGTGAGTCCAAGCTAGCCAATTATCTTGAAAAACGAGATACCCTCAAAAATCTGAAAAAAAACTCATGAAAAGTGCCTAACGTGGTATCTAAAACAGACCACAACTAACAAAGAATAGTGCCAAACTATACC